TAAAAGTTATATAATAATATCGGCATCTTTCACAACATCACTAAAATTATTTAGACTAAAGTCTAATTGCTTATTTAGTATTTTATGTAGGATTTCATGACCCAGCTAAGAACAGAAACAGGTACGGCTATCTGTTAATTAATAGTCGTAACTTAATTAGATAACAGGCGGGGAGGGAAATGTTTATTAAGACGACTGGATTCACATAATTAGATATTATCTTTTACTAATTGGACCAGAATTAAATGATAAGATAATAATCAAGTTCAGGCATATTGTACAAACAATTAGTTTCCTGTTGTAAGGAATATAATAGTTAAGCATTTTCATTACGTTGCTGAATTGCTAAGAATTTTGTAATATGTATCTTCGCGCATAGAGATATAGTGCTTTAGACAATTGAATTTGATGTATTTGAAAATGAAAAAGAAATTTTGATATCACAGTATGTGCTGTTTTCACATCATCTAAGCATGACTAAAACATTCTGAACATATTTTCGTATGCGCAAAAAAGGAATATCATAGTACATGTATGTGATTATGCCATGATAAAAATATATATGCTAGTTCAAACATGGAGGTGTTTTAGTTCACAATACTTTTTAGAATTTTAAGGATTCTGAAATTCTGCATATATTTTTCATCATGTCTTACTTAAACAGCTAATAATTAATGTTTCATGTTTCTACTTGTTCAGACAATTCCGAACTTCTGAATTCAGGAAATTAAAAAAAAAACACCGAAGTTTTCGGCTAGTTCCTTAGGTGTTCGGTTTTCGGAAGTAACACTACATATAAATACGCGTTTAAAATGTTTATATCTACGTTATATCACGTTTTCAATTGCTTTCTTTAATTTTAAGATCACATGTTGCGCCTGACACAGACAAATGAAGATGAAGAACAGGAAGTGGCAAGGCACGAGGGCAAATTGGAAATCTACCATCAAAGAAGCTGGCTCCCGATTTGTTATAAGGGCTGGGGTAGAAAAGAAACAGAAGTTGCCTGTAAACAGCTAGGTTTCCGTGAAGGGTCATCGACAGGGGTCAAGGACGAATTATTAATAGATTCTAAATGGATGATTAGCGTCACGTGCAAAGGAAATGAGAACAGATTAGACGCATGCGTATTTGAGTCTTTTGAATTCAATGGTTGTCCCGAGTTGAATTATGTGTCTTTAATATGTAGCTGAACTATATAGATGAAGACAGCATTTCCATTGAAACAGACTTACTTAAATATGAAAATGTAAAACTTCGAAATTAATTATGTATTTATATGTACATGAATGTACATTGATATGTTAAATATGCAAGTTATTGTGAGTTATTGTGAGAGATATGTAAACGTGTTTCTGTGTGGAACTACCGTTGTTGATGAAAATTTTATTGCGCTGAATGAATCGTTTAAGTCAGTAAAATTTTTACATCGTTCACCTCTAAATATCTGTCATAAAAAATATATTTATGTCATGGGATTGATATAGTGTTGCTTAAGCTACGAATTCTGTACATAAATATAGACTGTATATTAATTAAAACACAACGCCATGCAATAAGATGAATTAAACCGCCTGAAATGTAATTCATACCAGTGAATATGGTAACTGATTTGGGCCATGTGGTATTTTTTGCTCCGCCGGTCGCCAGACGAAAACACGAACATAGGACAACGTGACCACTAATGTGACCACTTTGTCGCATGGATCAACTACATACACACACACTAACACGCGCGCGCACGCACATACGCACGTACATATGTACATACATAGATAGTTTCTTCCGAACAATCATTTACACATACATATATATACATGTACAAAATAACTTAAATCAAACATCGATTTAGCAAAAACAACAAAATGCATACAGAAAATTAATGGCATAATACATGAATAATGTTTTGAGCAAAACATGTAATTAAGGAAATGCTGCTGCTAAGCAGCTTTCTTTAATTTGTATCGAAATTGGGTCAATAATATCAACAGGAACTTGCACTGCATAATACTGAATTGCGCTTTTTGGAAAATTGAAATCTCACGTAGGGTTGCACTATATCATCGCGTTGTGAAGATCGTAAAGCATTTATAGTTGTCCTATTTATGCATGTCTTTTATATATCCTTTATGTATGTTGGTGTTATATCATTTATCACCTTATATACAAGTATTCCAATCTGTGTGTACTGAAGTTCTTGAAATAAAGAAAGGGATGAATGGTCATACTTTTTATCTGGTATCATTCTTGTAGAACTATTTTGTATACACGTATATCTTGCTTATATAGATGCGCTACTGTTACACCAAAGTACGTGTCTATAATCAAATACGGGTTGAATATACTGTGTGCATTAACATACAATTAATTTTCGCATATCTTGACATAAATAGGGTTTAATTCGGTGGAATAAAGATAATTTAGAGTTAATGTTAACGATATCTATCTGTTAGAGTTAATTGTAAACGCTTTCTATCAGTGTATACCTTGTAAGGGTTCGATCAATGCAGGAGTCTAATGGCTTTGTAACACCGCAAAACGTCCGTACCGCAAAACGTACGCGTGTGGACGTTTTGCGTCGCATATCGTACACATGTGGACGTTTTGCGGTGCATATCGTACTTGGTACGTTTTGCGGCGAGAGTGTGTATTTGCGACGCATATCGTCCATATTTTCTGTATTAAAATATATTCATTATAAAAGTTACTTTTATTGGTTCTGTCACTTTCATATTGTATCAGGTAAAGATATGACGAAATAAACATTAAAGTGCAATAATTTTGTGATCCTATATAATTCTGACTTTTTTTTATTTTAAAAAAAGAAATATGCTTAAGCCGAGGATGTTTTTGGAATAGATTTTTTTATAGAATGGAGCAGCAGCAGAGATATAAAAACGATGATATTGAAATAAATGTAATCTTATAGACATACAGAAAAGGACGGCTATACGGACGGACGAACCGGGGATTGGACTTAGTGAATGACAAAAAATATCAAAATTAAGCTTTGCTTTTGACAAAAGCTTTTCATATAATTGCATCAAGAAGTGGGAATGATTTTTTGTGTTCTTGTTGACTATGGAGGTTTGGTTCTACCGTTCATTTTTACGGGGGATGGATGGGGGCTTTTGACAGCGTAGTCATATTTGAGCGACAGAGCTATATTTAAGTCGCCTAGTCATAATTGAGCAAAAAAGCTTTTCTCGCGGGGGGGGGGGGGGGGGTCTTGGGTGGTGGTGCTTTTAGCCGCCTAGTTATATTTGAGAGAGAGAGCTTTTGTCGAGGGAGGGAGATTGTCATATCTGAGTGAGAGAGCTATTGTGTTGATGGGGGGGGGGGCTTTAGCCGCCTAAACATATTCATGTAAGAGATCTTTTGTCGGGTTGTGGGCTTTTAGCCGCGTAGTCATTTTTGCGCGAGAAAGCTATTGTTGTGATGAAGGGTGTCTTTAGCCGCCTAATCGTTTTTTAGCAAGAGTGCTTTTATCGGGGATAGGGGCGGGGGTGTGTGGGGGCTGTTTGACATATTCGGTCTTTTTAGCTCATAAATGAACTTGATCGAGACCTTATTGTTATACATATTCTGTATAAAAATTTAATAATGGAGAAGAAACGAAAGCACTAACCAGGAAATGAAAGCGTAGGAGTGGTAACAATGTGAAACATAACAGATATTATAATTCAAGGGCAGATAACTCTGGAATATTGCTTAGGGTATGTGGATATTAGAGTGGTAACAAGCTAAATTTGGACGGACAGACAGACAGGTGCATACTCAGATGAGCTAAAATTAACACACAATAACACCTGATAATAACTGGTCAAAATTTACGAAAATTTTATAAACTTTAAAATATGGACGTTATGCGGCAGGACCATGCCTTTTTGCCGCAAAATGTACGTGAGAAAAATGTGGACGATATGCGCCGCAAAACGTCCATATACGTACGTTTTGCGGTACGGACGTTTTGCGGTGTTACATGGCTTTGTTTTTTTTCTATCTTTGACGCCCTTTATTTGGCATCTGTCTGTAATGATGGATAAAATATTTTGATTTTATAACAACAGCCGATTAGCATGCTGTTTGATTTCATAGGATTCAATGCCATATTATAAAATTGACACCACTATTCAACTTGAATTATATGAATCTGGAGCACATGTGTTGTCACTCACATATAACGTAGTGTCGTCTGCATACAAAGTAAATACATTATTCAAAGCAGATATGAAAGAGAACATCTTTAGGAACATCTGAAACAACAGTTTTATACTGTGATTCATGAACTCCAAGTTTTACCATCTCTTGTATTTTCCAAACCATTTACATGCTACATCCGAAAAATGATTCTTAATTACAGTCTTAATACACTGAACAGATTTATGTTTGGCTGTTTGATATGAGTGTTATTAACGAAACCCTAACTGAACTGTGTTTTAAGTTGAATATAAGTTCACTGGAAGAATGTATGTAGATCATGGTTTGAAACGTGTTTTTTTCAAGTGTTTTTATATAGAAGATACAATTGAAAGTTTAAGACTTTTTTTTATTTGATTATTATGTATTATCAATTATTATTAGCTTTTCAATGTAAAAAAATGATATTTTTTAACACAACACACGTGTTTATGACCCTTTATCACACTTGTGAACTCCTGTTCATGTATATAGTTTTCTTTTATGCTTTAAAATTCATAAATGTCAAATTATTTGAATGTATATGTATGCGTATGTATTGCACATGGTGTGTGATATACATGTTTGCCTGCTTGTAGCCATCACCAGAAACCCATGTGGACGACTCACTGAAGGTGCCTTATCATTTTTTTTAATTTTAAGTAGTGTAATAGAATGCAGAAATTATCCAGTTCCAGAAGAATCCGCTGCTTCTATATTCAATATTATTCATGTATACAATGCTGGCACCTTGGGTTTTAAAGTTTAGCAGTAAATTCAGGCAGTAATTTCAGAAAGAATGGTAGGAGTCCAACTTGCGACCCCTTGATTTGTTATGAAATAGTGTAACCAGTGAACAACGTACTGCCTTCACTCTGTCTTTTATTGTACATGTACACAATCTCTATATTATATTTACAGCTAGTCACTGGCACTTACAAATTCTGACTGCGTGTAAAATGCTTAGAAGAATGTTTGTATAAGAATATTGAAAATTGTATTTTGTTCTATGATTGGTTGTAAAGATTATGAAAAAATGTTAATAAATGAATGGTATAACATATGACTGGTGCCTTGATTTTCGATTCGAGTTAGCTGTGCACGTGTGTAACCGGAAAAGGAAGTTCACTATGCAAAATTAATGTATACAGAGACACAGTCTGATTAGGTCTCAAAAATTTCAGCTGAAGCAATACTATTTATTTCAAAGTGATGAATTCATGTGGTAGTCAGTCTGTGAACCATTATTTGAATAAAAACAAGTGAATATTGTAATCAATTTATTTCAACAACCCAACAGTCAATTTACTAGACTGGTTCACATGTGTTACGATTCATTTGAAATACTGCAATCCTATCGGACAAAAATAATTTCAAACACTAATGCAAGTAAAAAAAATATAAATGAATATAATAAATATTAAAAGATAAACATTACTTAATGAACATTTCTCAACGTGTGCAGTACTTACTTTAGAAATAATGACTAAAGTAGATCTGATAATGTGGATCCCCCTGATCCTTGCTATTCATGTTAATCATGGTTTTATTGCATTAGTGTTAGTGAAGCTGTGGGTTTAAATTCTAGCAATTTGAAAAATGACCGTTTTTAGTTTAATACAATTCCGACGAAAGTAAAAAAGACAGAAATAATTAAAAAACGTGAATAGGCATCAAACAAAATAAAAACAAAACAGAACAAAAATATTGAGTACAAAGTAAGTACAAGATTCTTTGTGATAATGGTTATCCGACATCCAAAGTTTATTTCACTGCTTTTCGCCCATCAATGGAAGGAAATTTAGCCGATAATTCAACTCAATATTTTCTCATCTTTAAAATACATTACTAACTGTATACTAACTTACAGTTGTAATTAAAGTTATGTTATTACGGAATGAAATACTTGAGAGTTTTGAAAGTATTTTATCCGATGTGATTTGTATAAAGAGACATGTTTAAATTTGTCGAAAGATTTTGGAGCAACTGGCGATAGTTTTGATGTTTTATTCGCATGTGAAGACACTTTTTTCTTTTTCTGTTTTTATTTATGGAATGAGAAGAAAGGTAACTCTGTAAGTTATATTGGAAATTCTTGCAGAGTTGCCTCCTTTCTATTAGTGCCGTACATATATAAAATTATGTATTTGAATTGTTTTATGTTGTTATGTATGGATGAGACTCAAATAAAGAATAAAAAATATATATATTGTGTGTATGTTTGTTGTAAAATTGGCTTCCCCAATTATACAAGCCAGCAATTCATCTCTTAAAGATTTCGTTTGTTCTTTTCCTCTTATGTCACACCCTTCAGCCCATTGTTGTGGACCTTGCCTAATTAAGTTTTTATCGCTTTAGCACATGCCTCTTTTCCTTGGTTCCCTAACCATTATTCGCAGCATACTGTAAAGGAGGCACATCACCCTTGGGATTCGAACCTTCGAATTAGTACTCAACCTCTTTACCACTCTTCCTTCATGATGCTGTTGATGTAAATTTGCAAAAAAAATGTAATGGAATGATTTGAAAGATTTCCATGTCGAAACAAAACTCTTCAAAGATGTGTACAGTTCAAGTTAAAGTCTTAATTCCTCATTATTCTGCGTCAAAAAAGACGTGCTAAGAATTTAGTTCATCACTTGTACCTAAATAGTAAATAACACAGCTCTCTAGTGATATGCAACCCACATGTTGTGAAAAGAAAAGAAAAAATACTAATCGTTAACACTGACAAAGTACATTAAGTGGCATTGTCATCAAAAGTGTTGTTAATTTTTCACCCAGCAGTTTCCCTCGTTCCAAACAACATGGCGGACGACGGACCCTCACTTCTCAGACATTAGTGTGATATATAAATATAAGAAATTTCTTCCGACTATTATCCTTGCCCAAATCAAATGATTAAATGTGTAGTAATAATGTTAGATTTAAAGTATAAGCACTTTGTTTACTTTAAAATACCTCTTATCTTATGCTAGCGTTCATGGTCAATAGTTCAGATTTACTTTTAATAGACCGACTAACATCTGTCATATTTCACCAAACGACACTCTGATACGTCGGTATCATACGTGCAACAATGACATTATTAGTGCTGTTTTGTATCGTATTTGTGACAGCTAACAAAGTGCACGGTAAGTATAGCATGACGTAATTTTGTCGCACTACTTTTATGTAGTAAATTAATGCTATTAATACGCTTCCATAAGTGGCAGCAGATCGTTTTGTATTATCATAAAAAATTATCTCAGTCTAAGAAGGTCGTGATCATTTTTCATTGTAAAAGACATTGCGGGCAGTAATGGAAACTGTGGAAAGTGGTGAATTAGTAATCCAGGGAATCCTGGTTCGATCCTTGTGCGAGGCGAAATTTCAATTTGATTTTGTACATTGACTCATATTCATTGAGCCGCGTCCTGACAAAACCAATGTTATGTGTTTGCGACCAGCATGGATCCAAACCAGCCTGCGCATTTGCGCCGTCTGATCAGGATCCATGCTGTTCGCTATCAGTTTCTCTACTTGTAATAGGGTTGGTAAGCGAACAGCATGGATCCTGATCAGACTGCTGGATCCATGCTGGTCGCAAACTCATTATGTTTGTTTTGTCATGGCACGGCTCATTTGATTCCGAATTCATATGTAATAACGTAATCGTTCCTTGCGCAGAAACTGGGGAAACTGACGATAAAACCAGAAAAACAACCAAACAACCGACAAACACAAGTTATTTTAAAGTAGTCATGTGTCTTTTTAAGGGACTTAAGTTATGTATATACGGGAAATCTAAGTTAATTTTTCTATTTGCTATTTAGTTATATGAAAATGAAAGTGTCCGGGTCATTTTCAGTATGTATGTAACTTGAACTTTTTATTAAAGGCAGATAAACTTAAAATAACTTTTTTTTATTTTTATGATAAAATAAAGATAGGAGAGTGTTTAAAAAGATTTAAGAAAACATTATAAAACTTCCCATCAGAGAAACGACAATTTTGCGCATGCGCCATCCTGGTAATGGGAAATTTTCAAAAGTAGATAAGGTTTTCATTTTTTTCGGTGTGGATGTGAATATTACAAGATACGATAAAGTAACCTGACAACAATCAGCTTTATTTAAATTTACAACCTTACTGTAAAATGTTGTTCCATATTTGTTAATATTTTGTAAACAATTTAGTCGGGACAAGATTCATTAGCAGCACCTCAAACAACAACAATAACAACAACAACAACAACAACAATGTGAACGTCAACGTTAACTATAACACCGTTGTGACATCATCTGTAACAATTATAAGTAACCACGTGACTTGTCATGTAAATGGCCTTGTTTATGGACTCGCCGAGGTGAGTTTTCTAATGTACAGTCTAAAGTTTACTCCAGAATTACGTGAACTTTTAATTTGTTGTTACTTAAAGATAACAGCATGAACATATAATGATATTTCATTCATAATAAATAAATTCTAGCCCAAAAAAGAAAAGATCCGAGAAGAAAAATAGTGTAGTTTTGTTGTTTCTGTCATGAATTTCTGTTAAATGTCGAATGATTGAATGAAAAATAGTCCGGACACCTTTCGTACTTCTTGTTTGGGTTAATATTTCCTCTTATTGCGTTTCAATGTTTTGACAGTTTTTCCGAGTATCTTGCCTCCATAAACTACAGTGCAACCACTGCAGAACGATAACCTCTATACCACAACCGTTTCTTCCATAAGTAAGACTTACCGTAACAACCACAATGTTTGTCCGCCTAGTTGTCTCACTCTGCACTGGTGGTACTGTATTATTAGCAGTTCTATCGTTTCAACAGGGCACCGTAAGTGCAGACGGCTGTACCAAATGTTCCTGCACACAGACAGGAATGGTTTGCAGTTCTTTAAACTGCCAAGGCCATCAACCAGTTAAAACAGGTAATTTGACCATAAAACCAGCATGACAGCCATTATTTCTTACGTTGTATGATATATAAAGAGAAAGTGTATGCAAAATTGGCTTTCTTGGAGGTTCATTGCTACGATATTTGCTATGGCTATACGTTTTTAATGGCTTTTAATGGGGTTTACTGCCGAACGTATTGCTATGACAATGAGTCTCTGTTTCTCAATTAGCACAGTTTTTTTGAGACACCTAAGTCAACAAGTGATAGAGATAAACCGTATATACTGTATGTGAATCGTTCTGATTTTCAAAAAGTTCTTATGCCTCCTAGTCAGTACTACGGTAATATTCAGTAAATAAATTTCATCAGTAACGTTTGTGTGTTTTAATGTATAGAAAATGCGTTTGTAACCCAATATCCAAATCAAACGTTAAATTATACGCCATTTTTCTTTCTTCCATCGAAACGTTTTGCATAATTTTTTTTTTCACAAACTTCCATACAACAGATGGATTGCATGTTTAAATAATGCAATAATGTACACAGAGGTCCTGCTCATTCAGCAAGTTTAAAATGTAACCATGCGTCGTATCTTAACATATTCACTTTTCTTTTAGATTTCCATAAATGTAAATATTCTGGGGTAACCCATAATTTCGGAGATATATTCACTCATGCAGACGGATGTAACAAATGTGTTTGTGGACTAAGTTCGATACAGTGTACGGACGCAGTCGCATGTAAACCTAGTGAGTTCTCGTTTATATTAACTATCTATTGTCATTAGAAAGCTTATGCTGGTGGCAAAGACTTGAAAGTTGAAATCACTTTCAATTCCAGCATGTTAAAAATACAAAAGTGCTGAAGGACCAGCCTTCTTCAACGTCGTACATGTGATCGACGCTAATACTAGAAAGTGTGAGTTTACTATTGGAAATGGGAATTTGACTTTTAAGCGTTTTCAAATTTTAGTTTTGTTATTGGACGAAAACTAGTTTAACATGTGTCATCTTCTTCCAGCTACACCTTCATACGACTGCACGTATCAGGGCACGGGTTATATGTCTGGACAAAGTTTCTCTCACACAGACAACTGTAATCTTTGTCAATGTACAATTCTGGGAGTAATATGCACGTCAAAAACGTGCACGACAACAACCACAACAACCAGTGAGTAGAATATGATGATAATATCTTTCTATACAATAGTTTCTGAACTTGGATAGTCAAAGTACATATGCACATAAAACAGAACAAAACATGAATCTTGTGGTCTCATGTTATATAAAATATTTTTCTATAAATATCTGTTAGGAGTTTGAACGGTTTTAACATACTGTCAGGTTCGGCTTCAATGCCCTGAACAGTATATCTTAAGTTATTTTATGTTTGGCTTATATTTATTTACTTTTTTCTATTTTCCTTTAGGTTCTTAACTTTAAAAATTACCACATTAAACTTTCTTGCCGTAGCGTCTTTTTGTCGTACCTTTTTCAAAATATTGTTTTCGCATATTTATTATAACAGCAATGGCGCCGTACACGTGCGAGTGGTTTGGCGCGTTTTATCACGACGGTGACGTCATGCAGGGAGACGGGTGCCATACATGTACATGTCAAGGTGGACAAGCAATCTGCTCTGCTACACTTAACTGTCCGGTATCGCCATGACTTTACTGAACGACCATATTATATTACATAAATAAACGATGAACATGTTATTTATACGTCCTAAATTGTGTGACTTAAAACTAAAAGAATATCTCAAAACGTTTTGTTACCAAAACTGATCGATACATTTACAAACAAAAGAATAAAGTGCTTTTCACTTGAATGATCTCTAATACTGGTTTCTGTTAATTCTTTAACAAAAACTTTTATATTCAAATGTTACTCACACATTGTTTTCTGTCCATTTTAATCTATTTCTACCTTATTTTAGAATGAGAAAAAAACCTTATTATCGAATGAGAAAGAAACCGTATCTCAGTATGCTTTATTTTTCATCAATTCTTATCTTTTTTTCCCATCAATTCTTATAAGTAATATATTATCAAAGATAAACTAATTCAACGACATACGTCTGCATCATGTTTATATATGTCTATTCTCTCACAATAGTATTCAAAAAGTTAGCAAATGAATGTCTAATAAATTGTTCATCAGATAAACACAGGGTATGTCCGGTGACAATAGTTTTTGATACACACATACATCTATAACTAACGTCTCAAGGAAGCAGTTGTTGTCGGCAAGGATACTGAAATATAAAAACAAAATACAATAAATATACGGACATACATACTAGTAGATCTATATCCTTCACATAAATTTTAATAATTAGAATGTTCTTCACATTAATAATTAAGTATTCTTCACATTAATTTGCATAATCATAATTTGTCCTTCGCATAAATTTTCATAATTATATTTTCTTCACATCAAATTACATAATAAAATAATATTCACACTAATTTGCATAATGGTATATTCTTCACATTATTCGGATTTTTACATATGGTCACATCAATTTGCATAATTTAAATATTCTTCACATAAATATACATTATTACAAATTCTTCACATATTTTCATGATGCATATCTCGAAGCATGAAAGTTTTATCAAAAACAACTAGCGCATCCTTTCAAAATAAATTTCTATATCTTAAAGATAATAAAATACAAAATAATGTTAAAGAATGAACTTTTATTATTATCACTGACTGTATATTGTGTATTACTAAAGAAAGTTATGGTCGTGGACTTTTTCATGTAAGGAACCTATCCAGCTAGCTTACGGAACGTCGGTTGTTCTACTCAGGGACCAGCTCGTACCTGAAATAATTCACGGAGGTTGGCCTGAGGTCTTCTGCTACCGCTAAAGCTGGAAAGTCGACATATGACGTATTTGTAAGTAACATCTATACAAGAATGTGTTTACCTGACGTTGTGCCACTGCATGGGTTGCACGAGCATTCTTTTATCTTTGGAATATACGCCATCTTTATCACGCTACCACATATAACTTGAACTACAACTTTTTCATCATAGAACGTTCCTGTATAAAAATTAATTTAACTGCCTTTAAACTTTTACAAAACTTAGTTTATAGCAAATAAAAAAGTTATATGGCGTTTAGGTTTATTAAAGGTTAAACAAGACAATTAATGAGAGTAAAGAACACAATAAAAGTATTATACTTAAAGAGCCAAAAAGAGTACTTCAAGATAATGGCCGTCACAATTTCTGTTTTGAGGAGTACTATGAAATTAACTATTAACATACTTTACTTCAGTTCGGGATTCATGAGCTTGTCTTGTCCTAGACTTTAGTGACATCATAACAAAGCCAAACACCGTTGCTAGAGGTACATCTTCATTTTGAAAGAAATCGGCCAAATACACTGTTATTAAATTTCTTTAAGGAGTCTCTGTAGGTAAGTTATCAAGGTCAATGAATTGCCCGTTGTCGATTTTGGTTTAAATCCCAGCTGTGACATTCAGAGCTTTTAAGAGACCGCTATCCACCTTTGCATTCAGAAAGTGTCTGCTTTGTGGAATGAAAATGGACAGAAAAGAACTGATAAAAGCTAAAATACCTCCATAAAATGTCATTGTACATGGCTTAAGCACTCATCCAAATCCTACTCCCCGGCCCCCACTAAAACAATAACCAACTGAAAGCACATAAAAACTTTTACCTGTACAACAAGGACAGTTGGCTGATTGACCACCTGCAGAATCCGGTGAGAATACAAGAACCGTTTCAAATGTACTGTTTCCACAACTTCCGGTACAATAATCTACATCTACGGCGTTCACAGAATGGCACGCGCCAACTGCGTCATACAAGATTTCTGTCCTTGTGTATTTTCGACAGGTGTCTGTAGGTAAACAACAAAATCACACTAGTGGACATATTTACAAAATATGGAAAACAACCCAGTCAAAATCTATTCAATATTTATGATTAAATATTTTTATATAATTTTATAATGGTAAAATCATGTTGTTTCCATATCATTTTTATGATGGGTTCTTGAAAGAATGTCCCTGTAATTATACATATGAGTAAGCTAGGCAAGTAAACAAAAGAAAACATTCGGAACAATATATTATGCTCCTATCATAAGAAGTGTTTTAACTTTTAAGTGTTTAGCAATGAGTTTATGCATACGCCATTTGGAAATATACAAACATATTTCTTGCATACAGGTCTTTCGGAATAATTCTGTTTTAGAATTCAAGCGGTTATTTTGTAAACTACATACTGCATGGTTTTAACTTTATTTATCCATATTATGTTATATTGTTTCAGCTACCAGTGAAAAGAAATGAATTCATAAATTTAATAATATCGTATATCAATGAATAAATAGCATTTGCTTTCAAATGAAATTTTAAAAAAGGAATACATTACAAAGTAACCAAGAATATACAATAATTCAACTTTAAAAACGAAGACAATGAAACACACATCTTCATGTTAGAGATATGTTTATATTTATAAAAAAGAAAAAAAAAGATTTTTTATTATTGACATTAATTTAAAAGTAACCAATTGTACAATCTGATTCAATGCCATTATTCATTAATGATAATCAATTAATAAAACAAATGCCTATATAAGATAGATGATCAATCCATTGCGGTATTTACATTAAAACAATAAATAATAACATACCATTAGAAGGAGGGTTTCTTTCACAATAGTTATTTTCATCAACCGTACAATAGCTGCAATATAGAAAAAGATCATTGGCTGAAATTTATTAGCTGGGAGTCAGCCGCCCTATAGATTTCAACAAGATAGAGTGTGTACCTGACAGAGACACCTTATTGATCAACAATGTATAATCCCGTAAAATTTAAGATCCTGTATGTTAGAATTGAGGTTGTATACCACATTTAAGTGAAATTTTATATATGTGTATAATAATGCTTGTAAAACAAATTTCAAACATCGAAGAATATGTAAAATATGTACTGCAAATATTTGTGCACATTATATGTATTCATTAAAATATATGCATTTATTTCTTATTGAAAAATTTGTCTTAGACTTTATAGAAAAAAAAAATCTAATTACCTCCATTTTTACATGAAATGTTAATTTCGGTAATATCTTTATAAATAAAGCTCTTTGGGACTTACAATATTGATAAATCTTAATTTGAGCATCATATTTATGATATAAAACCATAAAAAATTGTGTTACAGGATATTTAACAATACCACTACAACTACATGAATATCATTTTCAAACATGTTTTAAGGTAACGTAAGGTACCTATATGATTGCAATGTTAAAGTCCTAATTCTGCAAGGTTTGCTATTTGTAGTAACACGACAAAAATACAACGCAGTACAAATTAGTCGTAGATTTCTCCTAAAAACCTAACCTTTTATAAGGTAGAATAACTCATCCTTTTCACTTTAATACCATTGATATATGATCAAATATAATCATATTTTATTTTTGTGTGCAATCACGACCAGTGTATGTGATAATTATTTTGTGTATCTAGTGCACGTCTCAAACATGTATGTTCTTTTCTGATATAATTATAGCATTTATTTTATATAGCGCTAAAATATATAATATTATTATAAAACGAATAAATCTTGCTTCGTATTTGTTACAATGTACCACATTCAAGATAGTATAACCTAACGAAATAAAATAAAGAATTATAAATCCAAAAGGCTTACCAGGTATGTGTTGAATTTTTCGATGTAATGTTACCAAAATAATATTCGTTGCCATTGACAACACAATCTGGGGGACAATCAACCTCGCATGCCTCGGTTTCTACATCTGGTCCACAGTCAGTTCCACTTGTTAACTCCCTTGAGAGGAAAAAATTCATTGGTTGCATTTCACTCGTCTTGTGCATTGCCTCGTTAAAATTATTTTTTCATTTAAATTATAATTCTCTCAATATATTCATATATTACTATATTATCATTGGTGTCTATATGATCATATGACAAAGTTCTTTCACATCAATAGGGTCAGTTGTAACTGTACTGGCTTTTTATTTAAGTTTATGTTTTAGGTCGTTGTCTGTCTTAATAATAAACGCTTAAAGAGTCTATGAATGGCATCGGTAATGATAAGCTCTATTTACATAGATTCAAACAAGTCTACATATTCTAGCAGTTGGACTGCATGTCTCTTAAGCAACTTGACATCAATCCCATTCAAATTATAAATGAACTTTTCCCGTATTATTCCCACTAATAATTGAAGCAATTGAAACCACGTTCTTTTTTGTCTTATTTCTTTTACTCATGCAATTACTAAATATATATGATAACAATCAATTTCTTAAAACCCGGTTTTAACAAATACCCTTTAAATAGGTAAAATAACCCGTTTTGGAGCTATTTGGGAAACATTATGCACAGTGCTTTACTCAGAGACAGATACGTTTATTGTAGAAAGAGTAAGCTACGGTCATTATAATTATAGATAAAACATATATATATACCGGTATCTTTGTATTGAACCAGACCCACATGTTACATTACATGCACCCCATGACGTCCACGGGCTCCACTCACAACCTTCAAACAAACATTTATAAATTTAAATCTCTCAAGTAAGGTAATAATATTAAGGTTTTAAGAGTTAGGTCCCTTATGAATGTAATATGAATATTTCACCTCGCATACAACAAACATTGAGTATTCTCAAGGAAACATTTTTTAGGACATTTGCATAAAATGTGCATTCAATCGAATGTCGTCGATTTACTTTGATATAACGTAGTAAGAAATTGTCCAAAATTAAAGAAAATTTTTTGCTATTTTTTTGCACGTGAATAATGTTATGCAAGCTTGATTTAAAAACAAAATATAGCAATAAAGATCTAACCAGTACTGGTGAAGAACCATGGATATGATCCGCGTATGGTTTTAACCCACACCCCCTGTGTTCAATGGCAGAAAATTTAACCACTATGCCATTTCTCCACTTTTAAGATGCAAAATATTTCGTTACCTAAAGCAATATACAATCAAAGCACAGAAGGCGCTGAATTTGTTTGGGTCTCAGAATGTAAGAAAGGTACAGGTTATGAGATTATATGTATAGTGCCACCAATGCTTTCCAGCGTTTTAATTGTAGTAAACTGGCTATAAGACTAATTGCAACACTGATATTTAATCCCATGTTTATTTGACTTAAACAATTTGAAAAAAAAAAAAATGAGTTGCCTTTACTGGGATTTGAAATCCAGACCTCTCGCTTCCATAGCGAGCGCGAAAACCCCTCAGCCACGGTGAGGTATATGAGAACGGCCTGAAGAAAACCATATTATTCCAAAATTGGGCTTGAAACGACTTTTACTGTTGTTTAACACAGATGTAAATAATCCTGGAGCTTACTATAAGCATGTATATTTATAAAGAATCAAAGGGCTGCAAGTTCTGTGGTATTTTCAGATCTTTGCAATCTAAATCGTACTGTATATCTGTATGTATTTTCCTGTATAAGTTTATTTTTATGTACTATAATTCATCTTGCAAGGCACCAGTTTGATACATACGGAATTTTGCATAACTAGAGTTGCATCAAAAATCATTTATGTTCATTTTTTACGACAGCCACACTTTATCCTTGCATATCATGGCTACTTCCTTAACAAAGACACTTAAAAAAGAATTAAAAAAAAAAGTTTCCTCGACTGGGATTTGAACTCCAGACCTCTCACTCACTAAGCGAGCGCGTTACCCCTGCACCACGGCGAAGTTATACAAACAGTGTCTGAATAACATCAAGTCATTCTAAATTTAGAACTTCCATTGCATTTCGGGTTTGTAATCCTTATTAATTTCAAGGTATTTTGTTCAGGATAAACCTGTTGTTTAAAACTGAAGTAAATAATTTAGCGAAAATCTTCTCGCCCAAACAGTCCGACATGTAGAATCTATATATTCCACTACTCGGTTTGTGTAGTATTCGGTAATCGGCATCGCTAAAAATAGTATTTTCATTGAAAAAACATATTCATCCGCGTAATTTGTGATTGTGCATTTATTGACAATTCTATAAGCCAACGCTATTTCTAAACTTTGAATGCGTTGTAATTTGTTGGATACTTGTAACAAAATAAAAATATTTCTTTCTTTTTAAATCGCTAGTTTTAAGCTGTTTTGAGAACTACTTGTTGTTAGGTTTGTCGGGAAACTTCTGTGTCAGAGATTGATGTCCGCTTTGTATTTACTTATTTTCGATCAGAAAATACAATAAAACAATATAAGAAATCTTCGACCATTCGGGAATTATTTTGCTTGAAAATTAATGCGCCTGTCTTTGACCATCTTTACGCAGTGATCTCCCCTGAATTTTTCGACGTTAGTGTACATATAAAGGGAAGTAACAGATTCAAAAAAGTGGACTTCTTTCGGCATTTGCAATTAACAGCATTAGACTCTGAAATTTCGCTACCATTATTTGTTTGGTCTGACGACCCAAACAAATAAAAATGTAGCCTTTTACATTTAATTTAATGCATACACTAACAAGATTTAGTATCTATGTATATAATTGTCGGTGAAACTAAACATATCCCCTAGCTTTTAAATTGGAAAAAGAAAAAAACTTACATTGTGTATCAGTTATGCAATCCAATTGTTTGCTTATCTCATTGCAGTAACTGTAAATAAAACAGTGTTTATTAAAATTGTTTTAAGGGGACTCCACTGACGCCTAAAAGACTAAAAACATAAAATTTGAATTTCTTATGTAGATCAGCTCAGACTATAAAAACAGAGAGATCTGCAACAGATAGTAAAGAAATATACTCAGAATAATAAAGAAATATACTCAGAGTAATATAGAAATATACTTAGAAATAAATTGAGAATTGTATTATTGCTATTCTTAGCCGATGCAAGTGAAAAGCGTTACAACGATTTTCAGTTTTTGGTCATTTTTAACAATTAGAATATGTAAAAAGGATTGAGCGAAAGTTCTGAAATTTTTGCACACAAGTTATTGGTCTAGAGCTTCATCTTATGGAACATTTGTCTCGAAAACAAATCTACTGTCATGTCAGAAAAGTGCCTAAATTTAGAATGTATGAGAATGAAATTAATGAATATATCATTACTGATAAAGTAATTTAATAGTATTTGATTAATTTAGATTTATTGTATAAGACAGACATTGACTTCAAAGTTGGCTAGACTGACGGTCGTTTCGTTTACTCCGATCGCTTGACAGAACAACCAAGGATCATAAATGGGAATGATTCATGGAAGATGAAAGCCAGTGTCATGGAACATAGTTACTGACATGTAATCATGTGTGGGGTTTCAAGTGAATCTCAAAGATGGTTGAATTTGCATGCAAAACCTTTATCTGAAAGTGTTTGAGTTCCTAAAGGAATATACATGTTGTTCAGTCAAAATTCATATTAGGGATAACCGATTTTCGACAATGACCCTTAGACGTGATTGGAGTTTCCAGTAGATACTTATGGAGGTGAAGGAAATATGCCTAAAAACTCTAATCAAGGTATATTCTGCCTCTCCGTAGACTACTGTACAAGAAATGTTTATCTGTCAACGACCCTGGTCGTGCTGTCAAAAATGATGTTAATTAAAATACAAATGTATGTACGGTATGCATTAAAGTATACATTGGCTTACCATGTAGTACACCCATTAGCTATAGAATGACCAGGCAGCACAACCTGTCCGGTGTCGGCCGAGTAGCACGGGCAACTCGTCTCCGGCACACAGTTCCCGCTTGTTACATCTATGACGTAGCCGGGCATACATACACAACCTTCTTCACAAGGTTGATCCGAGTCTGTGACAAACTGAGATAGGCCTGGACATGTTTGATTTACATGGGAAGCACAGTTGGAAAATACTTTGTTAGCTGTACAATTCGGCTCTGTTTTAAGAAAAACATGATGATAGTTTTTCAATTAATAATCGAAGTAAAATTAACATTAAATATAACACATTTCCTTAGCTTGCATTCCAGCGTTCATCATGCTGTATTCATTCGCAATGTATTTAAAAAATACTGCCTATCTGGAATCATTTTTTGGCTTTACAAAAAAGCAGCACGCCTCCAGATTCACGCTAATTTTCATGCAAATTTTGAAAAAATTTTATTTGAATGTATAATATTGTGAAGTAACCAAAAGGAAGCAATTTATACATTATTAATGTCACTTACAAATCGAGTTAATTACCGAAAAGTGGTCAAAATATGCATAAATTGCCTTTACTGCGTTAGTAACTCAGTAGAAATATAGCTGTGAATACTGAAAAATCAGTCATTAATCACACATAATAAAATATCATTTAAAATATTACTAAAATCTTGAAACTTTTTACTTTTCCTTACATCTTAGTACATTTTTCTCAAGTTTGATTTTATTGAAATATATTGACTCATCTGGAGGCATGTAGCTTTATCAGAAGATACACTACGGAAAATATATCCGCTGGCTAAAATAGTGCGCTCTTCTAAGATACCACCTGGATACTTACCGACTTCTTCACAGAAGGTACAGGGCTCTATTTCGAAACTGTCTCCTTCGCACTCTGTACCCGAGCACGTGCGGTTTCTCTGTCTGTTGCCAAATACACAAGATTCAGAAGTAGAACAACTAGACCACGGTGTCCACGTGCTCCAACCTAAAAATAACACCATTTTGATATTTAGAATTTTGAATACATTATATATACCAATCATTTACGTATATATCCATTTGCTACTACTAACGTGTACCACGTGACATGGCAGTGAGTCGAATACATCTTCTGTATAGAACGCCGAAGGATCCAATAGATCTTGAATTTGATGGGTTGAGTGCGCATGATGTTTGATATAAACTGACCAAACAAACTTAAAAGGCATTGAAGATGTCGTTGAGTAAGTATTATATAGTGAAAAATATTAAGTATTTTTCAAGTAATTTGATTACAGAATAAGTAAATTATAGAAATCTTCTGCACTTGAACAGGTTGCTGATGAAGTACAGTTACTTAAACTTACTTCAGCTTTGCACCGGCCCAAATACATTTCAATAGAGTTGAATGTCAAACAACAATCACTTGTTTATTAAGCATATATTTTTGAATTACATTGTATGTGGACAGATAACAAAAACATGATTATTTTACATGAACAAACTTGCATCATATTCGAATGAACACATTTTCAGGCAGTGCAGTATTTCAGTTTACACTATTTTCATATTCATGTAAAGCCGATGTTTGTAAGAGTCGATGTCGGCTTGTAGTCACTACTACGAAAAAGTACAATCAACATCAATACGCCATATTAGTTTTGTTCCAATGCAAATAGTTTTACTTACTACTGCATGCGTCAGTGTTGCAATCTTCGATACTATCCGTGTTTTCATTACACGTGGTATACATGTCCACATTGATGACTGGCTGTAGCTGCCTCGATCTGATCCTCTGACCAACATCACACGATCTAGTGCAGTAGGACCATTCTGTCCATTCTGTGTAAACACAGTCTGTAAATTGTGACAGAAACCATTTTTGTAGTTAATAAATGTCAAAATACAGGAAATGTGCACTATGCCTCTACAATGACAAGGAAGATGAATATCATTGTGTATGTATGTAGTTTATAAAGCTAACTCTTACTTGACTTTTCAAATTCATTGTGAATAATAATATACCACCGGCATGATGAAGTATAAGCTACTCATTCTTTCTAGCTGGAATGTTGAAATAATTTAACAAGTTGTTGGCAGAATAATAAATTACTAATATTATCAAAGTCAGATATCTTGAATATTTATCTTGAATTTAAAAGTAACTTAAACTCTTGCATATAGTTGATTTTGTAAAATGCATGAATCTTCAGGTCACTTACATTCACATTCCTTTTGTACGCATGTGAAGTTTGTTCCAATGCATTCGCTGAAATGGTAAAACAGATTCGAAGCAAAATCGTACAATGATCTTTTTCGTATATTAAAACATTTCATTACTAACGACATATAAAGTAAAAGCTTTTCCAACGGCCACTTTCAATTTTGGAGTTTACTTCGCCGAATTTGTTTGTTACGTTATCCTCAATCGCAACTTCTCGGCCCTTTAATACTTGGAGAATAACGCATTCGGAACACCTCGCCTATTATTGATATTCATCTCAGGAGTCATTACGAATTGAAAAATAAATAGTCCAACCGCGAAATCTACCAATAAATATGAACTATTTAGGTAAAATCATTATAAAAATTGAAAAATATTTTTTACAACATGAATAAACTCAACAATTTAAAAATACACGCTGACATATAATAATACTGATCAATTCTGTTATAGTGTTATAAGACAATACTATTTTATATACATGTAATTATATTACCATACCATGTATAACAATCTCTTTGAAGAATCTCTCCCTCGTTGATACTATCGCCTACATTGTAATAAGCGCGCGAACCATCAATTTCCCGCCACCAACCTTCATGAGCTACATCAATGGTACAATTACACGGCGATTGAACACAATCATTGCTTTCTTCACCAGCACCAACACAGTCATTGATGTCTGAGCTAGTACTGTTACATTCCCTGTAGTAAACAGTGGTAAATCCTTATTTCAAAACATGGAAAACCAATGTACGTCTTTCATAAATGTCACTGGGTGGCAAATAGATAATGAAAAATTAGTAAATAACCATTACTGCTGCAGATATGGTCGTGATTGTGCATTCCACGGGTTTCAAAGCATTCCAGGCGTTTCAACAACGTTCTTACCTATTTGTGTAATATCTTAAGTACTTGCTGATTTATGAATCCTGGTTATAATTGAAGTCACAACAAAACTATAAAGGTTAAAAGGCAACTTTCCAGCCATACTAGCAGAGAGACAAGTCAAGTTTTGACGTCTAAGTAGAACTACCGAATTTCTATAAGCTAGCTTGAATGCGTCGTCACACAAAGAAGGAAGGATAACTCAAGCCACTGGCTGGATTCGAATTCACACAAGTTATTAGAAGAAATTCAATAAGGATTCTAAATAAACCGGATACAAAAGGTTTGATAATAAAGATATAACGATTTAACCTGTATCTTGTTTGAGTTCCAGTTCCACAGGTCACGCTGCATTGCGACCAATCACTCCATGACAACCACACAGATATTCCTTTATAATTTAATATAATCATATTTATTTTAAATCTATTTAAATGATGCCTTGTAAAAGTATTATAAAAAATGTAATCAGGATACATAGATGAAGGAAAATTTGAGAAAAAAAATACAACACTATAACACTTTTGTTGACTTCCCACTTAAAATTCAAAATAATACATAAGTATGTAACAATTCTGTTAGATCAAAAGAAAAACCTTGTGCAGGTAAATGTCCAGGTTGATTTTGACCCTGAGTAGATAGTGAGGTAGACACAATAGGAGAACTCGTTGTAACTGGTAAACCTGGTGCTGCTGTAGAACTCAATGTTACAGAAGTACTAATTGTTGTTTCTTTACCACCTTGTGCTGTTGGTTCAAAACCTGAAGTAACTTGAGACCCTGGTGATGCTGCTAGAGAGCTTGTTGTCAGTTTGACACCTGTTGTTGACGTCAAACCCGATGTAACTTGACCACCTTGAGTCGTTTTCATAGAACTTGATGATACCGAAACACCTGGTACTATTGTCTTGGTCGCTGGTGTTGCATGAGAACCTTGTGTTGCAGTAACAAAACCTGATGTTGTCGGAAAACCAAATGATGTTGTCACAGAACTTTCTGTGGTACCTACACCTGATGATGTTGACACACCTGCAATCGTTGTTGTGCCTGGGCTTAATGTTTCCGAACCGCCTGGTAATGTTGTGAATATTATTGTTGATTCTTCACCACCTTGTGATGTTGGTTCAAAACCAGAAGTAACTTGAGAACCTGGTAATTCTGCTAGAGAGCTTGATGTCAATTTTGCGCCTGTTGTTGTCGTTGAACCCGATGTAACTTGAGCACCTGGAGCCGTTGTCATAGGAGGTGACATTTCCGGAACACCTGGTACTGTTGTCTCAGCCACTGATGTTCCTTGAGCACCTTGTGTTGATGTAACAAAACTTGATGTTATCGGAACACTAAATGATGTTGTCAAAGTGCTTTCTGTTACCTCAGCAGCTTTTGTTGTTGTCACTGGCCTTCCTGTTTCTTGTCCACCTTTTGCTGTTGTCTCAAAACCTGAAGTTAACCTAGAACTGGGTGATGCTTCCATAGAACTTGATGTCACTTGAGCACCTGCCACTGTTGTAAAAGAACTCATTGATACAGAATTGCCTTCTATTGTGGTACCGACACCTGGTGATGTTGACACACCTGACATCGCGGTTGTTCCTGAGCTCACTGTTTCCGATACGCCTGTTACTGTTGGTAAAGATTTTGATATTTCTTCACCACCTTGTGGTGTTGGTTCAAAACCTGAAGTAACTTGAGAACCTGGTGATGCTGCTAATGAGCTTGTTGTCAGTCTGACACCTGCTGTTGTCGTAAAACCTGATGTAACTTGAGCACCTGGAGCCTTTGTCATAGGTGTAGATATTTCTGGAACACCTGGTACTGTTATCTCAGCCACTGATGTTGCTAGAGTACCTTGTGTTGATGTAACAAAACTTGATGTTATAGGAACACCAAATGATGTTGTCAAAGTGCTTTCTGTTACCTCAGCCTTTTTTGTTGTTGTCAGAGGACTTCCTGTTTCTTGTCCACCTTTTGCTGTTGTCTCAAAACCAGGAGTTAACGGAGAACCGGATGATCCTTCTATAGAACTTGGTGTTACTTGAGCACCTGCCACTGTTGTAAAAGAACTCATTGATACAGAATTGCCTCCTATTGTGGTACCGACACCTGGTGATGTTGAGACACCTGACATTTTTGTTGTTACTGAGCTCACTGTTTCCGAACCGGCTGTTACTGTTGGTAAAGATTTTGATGTTTCTTCACCACCTTGTGCTGTTGGCTCAAAACCTGAAGTAACTTGAGAACCTGGTGATGCTGCTAGAGAGCTTGTTGTCAGTTTGGCACCTGCTGTTGTCGTCAAACGCGATGTTACTTGACCACCTTGAGTCGTTTTCATAGAACTTGATGTTACCGAAACACCTGGAACTATTGTCTCGGTCACTGATGTTGTCTGAGCACTTTGTGCTGTTGTTATAAAACTTGATGTTGTCGGAACACCAAATGATGTTGTCAAAGAACTTTCTGTGGTACCTACAGCTGATGATGCTGAGACACCTGCAATCGCTGTTGTGCCTAGGCTTAATGTTTCCGAACCGCCTGGTAATGTTGTGAATATTATTGATGTTTCTTCACCACCTTGTGCTGTGGGTTCAAAACCTGAAGTAACTTGAGAACCTGGTAATTCTGCTAGAGAGCTTGATGTCAATTTTGCGCCTGTTGTTGTCGTTGAACCCGATGTAACTTGAGCACCTGGAGCCAATGTCATAGAAGGTGATGTTTCCGGAACACCTGGTACTGTTGTCTCAGCCACTGATGTTCCATGAGCACTTTGTGTTGATGTTACAAAACTTGATGTTATCGGTACACTAAATGATGTTGTCAAAGGGCGTTCTGTTACCTCAGCACCTTTTGTTGTTGTCAAAGGACTTCCTGTTTCCTGTCCACTTTTTGCTGTTGTCTCAAAACCCGAAGTTAACGGAGAACCAGATGATGCTTCCATAGAACTTGGTGTTACTTGAGCACCTGCCACTGTTGTAAAAGAACTCATTGATACAGAATTGCCTTCTATTGTGGTACCGACACCTGGTGATGTTGAGACACCTGACATAGCAGTTGTTCCTGAGCTCAATGTTTTTGATCCGCCTGTTACTGTTGGTAAAGATTCTGATATTTCTTCAACACCTTGTGCTGTTGGTTCAAAACCTGAAGAAACTTGAGAACCCGGTAATTCTGATAGAGAGCTTGTTGTCAGTTTGACACCTGCTGTTGTCGTCAAACCTGATGTAACTTGAGCACCTGGAACCGTTGTCATAGGTGTTGATGTTTCCGGAACACCTGTTACTGTTGTCTCAGCCACTGATGTTGCTTGAGTACCTTGTGTTGATGTAACAAAACTTGATGTTATTGGAACACCAAACGATGTTGTCAAAGTGCTTTCTATTACCTCAGCACCTTTTGTTGTTGACACAGGACTTCCTGTTTCTTGTTCACCTTTTGCTGTTGTCTCAAAACCCGGAGTTAACGGAGAACCGGGTGATGCTTCTATAGAACTTGGTGTTACTTGAGCACCTGCCACTGTTGTAAAAGAACTCATTGATACAGAATTGCCTCCTATTGTGGTACCGGCACCTGGTGATGTTGACACACCTGACATTGCTGTTGTTCCTGAGATCACTGTTTCCGAACCGCCTGTTACTGTTGGTAAAGATTTTGATGTTTCTTCACCACCTTGTGCTGTTGGTTCAAAACCTGAAGTGACTTTATAACCTGGTGAGGCTGCTAGAGAGCTTGTTGACAGTTTGGCACCTGCTGTTGTCGTGAAACCCGATGTAACTTGACCACCTTGAGTAGTTTTCATAGAACTTGATGTTACCGAAACACCTGGTACTATTGTCTCGGTCACTGGTGTTGCCTGAGTACTATGTGATGTTGTTATAAAACTTGATGTTGTTGGAACACCAAATGATGTTGTCAAAGAACTTTCTGTGGTACCTACAGCTGATGATGCTGAGACACCTGCAATCGCTGTTGTGCCTAGGCTTAATGTTTCCGAACCGCCTGGTAATGTTGTGAATATTATTGATGTTTCTTCACCACCTTGTGCTGTGGGTTCAAAACCTGAAGTAACTTGAGAACCTGGTAATTCTGCTAGAGAGCTTGATGTCAATTTTGCGCCTGTTGTTGTCGTTGAACCCGATGTAACTTGAGCACCTGGAGCCGCCAATGTCATAGCAGGTGATGTTTCCGGAACACCTGGTTCTGTTGTCTCAGCCACTGATGTTCCATGAGCACTTTGTGTTGATGTTACAAAACTTGATGTTATCGGTAAACTAAATGATGTTGTCAAAGGGCGTTCTGTTACCTCAGCACCTTTTGTTGTTGTCAAAGGACTTCCTGTTTCCTGTCCACTTTTTGCTGTTGTCTCAAAACCCGAAGTTAACGGAGAACCAGATGATGCTTCCATAGAACTTGGTGTTACTTTACCACCTGCCACTGTTGTAAAAGAACTCATTGATACAGAATTGCCTTCTATTGTGGTACCGACACCTGGTGATGTTGAGACACCTGACATAGCAGTTGTTCCTGAGCTCAATGTTTTTGATCCGCCTGTTACTGTTGGTAAAGATTCTGATATTTCTTCAACACCTTGTGCTGTTGGTTCAAAACCTGAAGTAACTTGAGAACCTGGTAATTCTGATAGAGAGCTTGTTGTCAGTTTGACACCTGCTGTTGTCGTCAAACCTGATGTAACTTGAGCACCTGGAGCCGTTGTCATAGGTGTTGATGTTTCCGGAACACCTGTTACTGTTGTCTCAGCCACTGATGTTGCTTGAGTACCTTGTGTTGATGTAACAAAACTTGATGTTATTGGAACACCAAACGATTTTGTCAAAGTGCTTTCTATTACCTCAGCACCTTTTGTTGTTGACACAGGACTTCCTGTTTCTTGTTCACCTTTTGCTGTTGTCTCAAAACCCGGAGTTAACGGAGAACCGGGTGATGCTTCTATAGAACTTGGTGTTACTTGAGCACCTGCCACTGTTGTAAAAGAACTCATTGATACAGAATTGCCTCCTATTGTGGTACCGGCACCTGGTGATGTTGACACACCTGACATTGCTGTTGTTCCTGAGATCACTGTTTCCGAACCGCCTGTTACTGTTGGTAAAGATTTTGATGTTTCTTCACCACCTTGTGCTGTTGGTTCAAAACTTGAAGTGACTTTATAACCTGGTGAGGCTGCTAGAGAGCTTGTTGACAGTTTGGCACCTGCTGTTGTCGTGAAACCCGATGTAACTTGACCACCTTGAGTAGTTTTCATAGAACTTGATGTTACCGAAACACCTGGTATTATTGTCTCGGTCACTGTTGATGCCTGAGTACTATGTGATGTTGTTATAAAACTTGATCTTGTTGGAACACCAAATGATGTTGTCAAAGAACTTTCTGTGGTACCTACAGTTGATGATGTTGCGACACCTGCAATCGCTGTTGTGCCTGGGCTTAATGTGTCCGAACCGCCTGGTAATGTTGTGAATATTATTAATGTTTCTTCACCACCTTGTGCTGTGGGTTCAAAACCTGAAGTAACTTGAGAACCTGGTAATTCTGATAGAGAGCTTGTTGTCAGTTTGACACCTGCTGTTGTCGTCAAACCTGATGTAACTTGAGCACCTGGAGCCGTTGTCATAGGTGCTAATGATTCCGGAACACCTGTTACTGTTGTCTCAGCCACTGATGTTGCTTGAGGACCTTGTGTTGATGTAATAAAACTTGATGTTATCGGAACACCAAATGATGTTGTCAAAGTGCTTTCTGTTACCTCAGCAGCTTTTGTTGTTGTCACTGGCCTTCCTGTTTCTTGTCCACCTTTTGCTGTTGTCTCAAAACCTGAAGTTAACCTAGAACTGGGTGATGCTTCCATAAAACTTGATGTCACTTGAGCACCTGCCACTGTTGTAAAAGAACTCATTGATACAGAATTGCCTTCTTTTGTGGTACCGACACCTGGTGATGTTGACACACCTGACATCGCAGTTGTTTCTGAGCTCACTGTTTCCGATACGCCTGTTACTGTTGGTAAAGATTTTGATATTTCTTCACCACCTTGTGGTGTTGGTTCAAAACCTGAAGTAACTTGAGAACCTGGTGATGCTGCTAATGAGCTTGTTGTCAGTTTGACACCTGCTGTTGTCGTCAAACCTGATATAACTTGAGTACCTGGAGCCGTTGTCATAGGTGTTGATGTTTCCGGAACACCTGTTACTGTTGTCTCAGCCACTGATGTTGCTTGAGTACCTTGTGTTGATGTAACAAAACTTGATGTTATTGGAACACCAAACGATGTTGTCAAAGTGCTTTCTATTACCTCAGCACCTTTTGTTATTGACCCAGGACTTCCTGTTTCTTGTTCACCTTTTGCTGTTGTCTCAAAACCCGGAGTTAACGGAGAACCGGGTGATGCTTCTATAGAACTTGGTGTTACTTGAGCACCTGTTGTAAAAGAACTCATTGATACAGAATTGCCTCCTATTGTGGTACCGGCACCTGGTGATGTTGACACACCTGACATTGCTCTTGTTCCTGAGATCACTGTTTCCGAACCGCCTGTTACTGTTGGTAAAGATTTTGATGTTTCTTCACCACCTTGTGTTGTTGGTTCAAAACCTGAAGTAACTTGAGAACCTGGTGATGCTGCTAGAGAGCTTGTTGTCAGTTTGGCACCTGCTGTTGTCGTCGAACCCGATGTTACTTGACCACCTTGAGTCGTTTTCATAGAACTTGATGTTACCGAAACACCTGGAACTATTGTCTCGGTCACTGATGTTGTCTGAGCACTTTGTGCTGTTGTAATAAAACTTAATGTTGTCGGAACACCAAATGATGTTGTCAAAGAACTTTCTGTGGTACCTACAGCTGATGATGCGGAGACACCTGCAATCTCTGTTGTGCCTAGGCTTAATGTTTCCGAACCGCCTGGTAATGTTGTGAATATTATTGATGTTTCTTCACCACCTTGTGCTGTGGGTTCAAAACCTGAAGTAACTTGAGAACCTGGTAATTCTGCTAGAGAGCTTGATGTCAATTTTGCTCCTGTTGTTGTCGTTGAACCCGATGTAACTTGAACACCTGGAGCCTTTGTCATAACAGGTGATGTTTCCGGAACACCTGGTACTGTTGTCACAGCCACTGATGTTCCATGAGCACTTTGTGTTGATGTTACAAAACTTGATGTTATCGGTAAACTAAATGATGTTGTCAAAGGGCGTTCTGTTACCTCAGCACCTTTTGTTGTTGTCAAAGGACTTCCTGTTTCCTGTCCACTTTTTGCTGTTGTCTCAAAACCCGAAGTATACGGAGAAACAGATGATGCTTCCATAGAACTTGGTGTTACTTGAGCACCTGCCACTGTTGTAAAAGAACTCATTGATACAGAATTGCCTTCTATCGTGGTACCGACACCTGGTGATGTTGAGACACCTGACATAGCAGTTGTTCCTGAGCTCAATGTTTCTGATCCGCCTGTTACTGTTGGTAAAGATTCTGATATTTCTTCAACACCTTGTGCTGTTGGTTCAAAACCTGAAGTAACTAGAGAACCTGGTAATTCTGATAGAGAGCTTGTTGTCAGTTTGACACCTGCTGTTGTCGTCAAACCTGATGTAACTTGAGCACCTGGAACCGTTGTCATAGGTGTTGATGATTCCGGAACACCTGTTACTGTTGTCTCAGCCACTGATGTTGCTTGAGTACCTTGTGTTGATGTAACAAAACTTGATGTTATTGGAACACCAAACGATGTTGTCAAAGTGTTTTCTGTTACCTCAGCACCTTTTGTTGTTGACACAGGACTTCCTGTTTCTTGTTCACCTTTTGCTGTTGTCTCAAAACCCGGAGTTAACGGAGAACCGGGTGAGGCTTCTATAGAACTTGGTGTTACTTGAGCACCTGCCACTGTTGTAAAAGAACTCATTGGTACAGAATTGCTTCCTATTGTGGTACCGGCACCTAGTGATGTTGACACACCTGACATTGCTGTTGTTCCTGAGATCACTGTTTCCGTACCGCCTGTTACTGTTGGTAAAGATTTTGATGTTTCTTCACCACCTTGTGCTGTTGGTTCAAAACCTGAAGTGACTTTATAACCTGGTGAGGCTGCTTGAGAGCTTGTTGACAGTTTGGCACCTGCTGTTGTCGTGAAACCCGATGTAACTTGACCACCTTGAGTAGTTTTCATAGAACTTGATGTTACCGAAACACCTGGTACTATTGTCTCGGTCACTGGTGTTGCCTGAGTACTATATGCTGTTGTTATAAAACTTGATGTTGTCGGAACACCAAATGATGTTGTCAAAGAACTTTCTGTGGTACCTACACCTGATGATGTTGCGACACCTGACATCGCTGTTGTGCCTGGACTTAATGTTTCCGAACCGCCTGGTAATGTTGTGAATATTATTGATGTTTCTTCACCACCTTGTGCTGTGGGTTCAAAACCTGAAGTAACTTGAGAACCTGGTAATTCTGCTAGAGAGCTTGATGTCAATTTTGCGCCTGTTGTTGTAGTTGAACCCGATGTAACTTGAGCACCTGGAGCCAATGTCATAGAAGGTGACGTTTCCGGAACACCTGGTACTGTTGTCGTAGCCACTGATGTTCCTTGAGCACTTTGTGTTGATGTAATAAAACTTGATGTTATCGGAACACTAAATGGTGTTGTCAAAGTGCTTTCTGTTATCTCAGCAGCTTTTGTTGTTGTCAAAGGACTTCCTGTTTCTTGTCCACTTTTTGCTGTTGTCTCAAAACCCGAAGTTAACGGAGAACCGGATGATGCTTCCATAGAACTTGATGTTACTTGAGCACCTGCCACTGTTGTAAAAGAACTCATTGATACAGAATTGCCTTCTATTGTGGTACCGACACCTGGTGATGTTGAGACACCTGACATAGCAGTTGTTCCTGAGCTCAATGTTTTTGATCTGCCTGTTACTGTTGGTAAAGATGTTGATATTTCTTCACCACCTTGTGCTGTTGGTTCAAAACCTGAAGTAACTTGAGAACCTGGTAATTCTGATAGAGAGCTTGTTGTCAGTTTGACACCTGCTGTTGTCGTCAAACCTGATGTAACTTGAGCACCTGGAGCCGTTGTCATAGGTGTTGATGATTCCGGAACACCTGTTACTGTTGTCTCAGCCACTGATGTTGCTTGAGTACCTTGTGTTGATGTAATAAAACTTGATGTTATCGGAACACCAAATGATGTTGCCAAAGTGCTTTCTGTTACCTCAGCACCTTTTGTTGTTGTCACAGGTCTTCCTGTTTCTTGACCACTTTTTGCTGTTGTCTCAAAACCCGGAATTAACGGAGAACTGGATGATTCTTCTATAGAACTTGGTGTTACTTGAGCACCTGCCACTGTTGTGAAAGAACTCATTGATATAGAATTGCCTCCTATTGTGGTACCGGCACCTGGTGATGTTGACACACCTGACATTGCTGTTGTTCCTGAGATCACTGTTTCCGAACCACCTGTTACTGTTGGTAAATATTTTGATGTTTCTTCACCACCTTGTGCTGTTGGTTCAAAACCTGAAGTAACTTGAGAACCTGGTAATTCTGCTAGAGAGCTTGATGTCAATTTTGCGCCTGTTGTCGTTGAACCCGATGTAACTTGAGCACCTGGAGCCAATGTCATGGAAGGTGATGTTTCTTGAACATCACCAGGTGTCGGTACACCTGGTACTGTTGTCGTAGCCACTGTTGTTCCTTGAGCACTTTGTGTTGATGTTACAAAACTTGATGTTATCGGTACACTAAATGATGTTGTCAAAGTGCGTTCTGTTACCTCAGCAGCTTTTGTTGTTGTCAAAGGACTTCCTGTTTCTTGTCCACTTTTTGCTGTTGTCTCAAAACCCGGAGTTAACGGAGAACCGGGTGATGTTTCTATAGAACTTGGTGTTACTTGAGCACCTGCCACTGTTGTAAAAGAACTCATTGATACAGAACTGCCTCCTATTGTGGTACCGACACCTGGTGATGTTGACACACCTGACAGTGCTGTTGTTCCTGGGATCACTGTTTCCGAACCGCCTGTTACTGTTGGTAAAGATTTTGATGTTTCTTCACCACCTTGTGCTGTTGGTTCAAAACCTGAAGTGACTTTATAACCTGGTGAGGCTGCTAGAGAGCTTGTTGACAGTTTGGCAATTCCTGTTGTCGTGAAACCCGATGTAACTTGACCACCTTGAGTCGTTTTCATAGAACTTGGTGTTACCGAAACACCTGGTACTATTGTCTCGGTCACTGGTGTTGCCTGAGTACTATGTGCTGTTGTTATAAAACTTAATGTTGTTGGAATACCAAATGATGTTGTCAAAGAACTTTCTGTGGTACCTGCACCTGATGATGTTGACACACCTGCAATCGCTGTTGTGCCTGGGCTTAATGTTTCCGAACCGCCTGGTAATGTTGTGAATATTATTGATGTTTCTTCACCACCTTGTGCTGTGGGTTCAAAACCTGAAGTAACTTGAGAACCTGGTAATTCTGCCAGGGAACTTGATGTCAGTTTTGCGCCTGTTGTTGTCGTTGATCCCGATGTAACTTGAGCACCTGGAGCCAATGTCATAGAAGGTGACGTTTCCGGAACACCTGGTACTGTTGTCGTAGCCACTGATGTTCCTTGAGCACCTTGTGTTGATGTAATAAAACTTGATGTTATCGGAACACTAAATGGTGTTGTCAAAGTGCTTTCTGTTATCTCAGCAGCTTTTGTTGTTGTCAAAGGACTTCCTGTTTCTTGTCCACTTTTTGCTGTTGGCTCAAAACCCGAAGTTAACGGAGAACTGGATGATGCTTCCATAAAACTTGATGTTAATGGAGCACCTGCCACTGTTGTAAAAGAACTAATTGATACAGAATTGCCTTCTATTGTGGTACCGACACCTGGTGATGTTGAGACACCTGACATGGCAGTAGTTCCTGAGCTCAATGTTTTTGATCCGCCTGTTACTGTTGGTAAAGATGTTGATATTTTTTCACCACCTTGTGCTGTTGGTTCAAAACCTGAAGTAACTTGAGAACCTGGTAATTCTGTTAGAGAGCTTGTTGTCAGTTTGACACCTGCTGTTGTCGTCAAACCTGATGTAACTTGAGCACCTGGAGCCGTTGTCATAGGTGTTGATGATTCCGGAACACCTGTTACTGTTGTCTCAGCCACTGATGTTGCTTGAGTACCTTGTGTTGATGTAATAAAACTTGATGTTATCGGAACACCAAATGATGTTGTCAAAGTGCTTTCTGTTACCTCAGCACCTTTTGTTGTTGTCACAGGACTTCCTGTTTCCTGTCCACTTTTTGCTGTTGTCTCAAAACCCGAACTTAACGGAGAACCAGATGATGCTTCCATAGAACTTGATGTTACTTGAGCACCTGCCACTGTTGTGAAAGAACTCATTGATATAGAATTGCCTCCTATTGTAGTACCGGCACCTGGTGATGTTGACACACCTGACATTGCTGTTGTTCCTGAGATCACTGTTTCCGAACCACCTGTTACTGTTGGTAAATATTTTGATGTTTCTTCACCACCTTGTGCTGTGGGTTCAAAACCTGAAGTAACTTGAGAACCTGGTAATTCTGCTAGAGAGCTTGATGTCAATTTTGCGCCTGTTGCCGTTGAACCCGATGTAACTTGAGCACCTGGAGCCAATGTCATGGACGGTGATGTTTCTTGAACACCTGGTACTGTTGTCGTAGCCACTGTTGTTCCTTGAGCACTTTGTGTTAATGTTACAAAACTTGATGTTATCGGTACACTAAATGATGTTGTCAAAGTGCGTTCTGTTACCTCAGCAGCTTTTGTTGTTGTCAAAGGACTTCCTGTTTCTTGTCCACTTTTTGCTGTTGTCTCAAAACCCGGAGTTAACGGAGAACCGGGTGATGTTTCTATAGAACTTGGTGTTACTTGAGCACCTGCCACTGTTGTAAAAGAACTCATTGATACAGAACTGCCTCCTATTGTGGTACCGACACCTAGTGATGTTGACACACCTGACAGTGCTGTTGTTCCTGGGATCACTGTTTCCGTACCGCCTGTTACTGTTGGTAAAGATTTTGATGTTTCTTCACCACCTTGTGCTGTTGGTTCAAAACCTGAAGTGACTTTATAACCTGGTGAGGCTGCTAGAGAGCTTGTTGACAGTTTGGCAATTGCTGTTGTCGTGAAACCCGATGTAACTTGACCACCTTGAGTCGTTTTCATAGAACTTGGTGTTACCGAAACACCTGGTACTATTGTCTCGGTCACTGGTGTTGCCTGAGTACTATATGCTGTTGTTATAAAACTTAATGTTGTTGGAACACCAAATGATGTTGTCAAAGAACTTTCTGTGGTACCTACACCTGATGATGTTGACACACCTGCAATCGCTGTTGTGCCTGGGCTTAATGTTTCCGAACCGCCTGGTAATGTTGTGAATATTATTGATGTTTCTTCACCACCTTGTGCTGTGGGTTCAAAACCTGAAGTAACTTGAGAACCTGGTAATTCTGCCAGGGAGCTTGATGTCAATTTTGCGCCTGTTGTTGTCGTTGATCCCGATGTAACTTGAGCACCTGGAGCCAATGTCATGGAAGGTGATGTTTCCGGAACACCTGGTACTGTTGTCGTAGCCACTGATGTTCCTTGAGCACTTTGTGTTGATGTTACAAAACTTGATGTTATCGGTACACTAAATGATGTTGCTAAAGTGCGTTCTGTTACCTCAGCAGCTTTTGTTGTTGTCAAAGGACTTCCTGTTTCTTGTCCACTTTTTGCTGTTGTCTCAAAACCCGAAGTTAACGGAGAACCGGGTGATGTTTCTATAGAACTTGATGTTACTTGAGCACCTGCCACTGTTGTAAAAGAACTCATTGATACAGAATTGCCTTCTATTGTGGTACCGACACCTGGTGATGTTGAGACACCTGAAATAGAAGTTGTTCCTGAGCTCAATGTTTTTGATCCGCCTGTTACTGTTGGTAAAGATTCTGATATTTCTTCAACACCTTGTGCTGTTGGTTCAAAACCTGAAGTAACTTGAGAACCTGGTAATTCTGATAGAGAGCTTGTTGTCAGTTTGACACCTGCTGTTGTCGTCAAACCTGATGTAACTTGAGCATCTGGAGCCGTTGTCATAGGTGTTGATGATTCTGGAACACCTGTTACTGTTGTCTCAGCCATTGATGTTGCTTGAGTACCTTGTGTTGATGTAACAAAACTAGGTGTTATCGGAACACCAAATGATGTTGTCAAAGTGCTTTCTGTTACCTCAGCAGCTTTTGTTGTTGTCAAAGGACTTCCTGTTTCTTGTCCACTTTTTGCTGTTGTCTCAAAACCCGAAGTTAACGGAGAACCGGATGATGCTTCCATAGAACTTGGTGTTACTTGAGCACCTGCCACTGTTGTAAAAGAACTGATTGGTACAGAATTGCCTCCTATTGTGGTGCCGATACCTGGTGATGTTGACACACCTGACATTGCTGTTGTTCCTGAGCTCACTGTTACCGAACCGCCTGTTACTGTTTGTAAATATTTTGATGTTTCTTCGTCACCTTGTGCTGTTGGTTCAAAACCTGAAGTGACTTTAGAACCTGGTAATGCTTCTCGAGAGCTTGTTGTCAATTTGACACCTGCTGTTGTCGTGAAACCCGATGTAACTTGACCACCTTGAGTCGTTTTCATAGAACTTGATGATACCGAAACACCTGGTACTATTGTCTCGGTAACTGGTTTTGCCTGAGCACTTTGTGCTGTTGTAATAAAGGTTGATGTTATCGGAACACCAAATGATGTTGTCAAAGAACCTTCTGTGGTACCTACACCTGATGATGTTGACACACCTGCAATCGCTGTTGTGCCTGGGCTTAATGTTTCCGAACCGCCTGGTAATTTTGTGACTTTAGAACCTGGTGATGCTGCTAGAGAGCTTGTTGTCAGTTTGACACTTGCTGTTGTCGTCAAACCCGATGTAACTTGAGCACTTGGAGCCGTTGTCATAGGAGTTGATGTTTCCGAAACACCTGGTACTGTTGTCTCAGCCACTGATGTTGCTTGAGTACCTTGTGTTGATGTAAGAAAACTTGATGTTATCGGAACACTAAATGATGTTGTCAAAGTACTTTCTGTTACCTCAGCACCTTTTGTTGTTGCCACAGGACTTCCTGTTTCTTGTTCACTTTTTGCTGTTGTCTCAAAACCTGAAGTTAACCTAGAACTTGGTGATACTTCCATTGAACTTGGTGTTACTTGAGTACCGGGTGCTATTGTCAGATGTTTCGATGCCACTGGAGCACTTGATGTTGTTTTAGATGTCACGCGAGAGCCTGATTTTGAAGCACTTTGTGATGCACCTTGAGGTGTAGTCATATAAATGAAACTCGATGAAAGTGAAGTGACCGGTTTTGCTGTCAAAGTAGAAGATGCCATAGGAGTTACTTCTTTGGTAATCAATGACTTTGATGTTTCTGGAATAAAAATTATTAGTGTTACCATTTTCCAGTGATATTCAAAGCAAAGTTGCATAAATGGTACATTATGGTTCATACATAAAGTCATTTAAGTTTGTCGATGTTTGAAAGGAATGCTACAGCCGTGTGTTAATTATTCTTTGTTTATTTAAAACAAAGATTATAATTAAACGACACAGCTGTAGTATTCAAAACCCTAAATTTTCGCAAACCGATGAAATAATACAGTTAGCTACCCTACCAAACTTCCAATTCGTCTACTACAAACTACCTTAACCTACTCTACCCATAGAAACAAATAAATATGATAATTACCTGTTTCATTAATATTTATTTTTAAAAAAGATACTTATTTCCTCCTTGTTTAGTTTATCGTGACGAATATCTTGTTCTAATTGCTAAGGTTTTAACGTTGTTGCTCATGCCCTCAAAGTCTCTCTGAGATTGCCTTGCCCTCTGAAAATGTTAGTCAGTTACTAATTTATCATACTTCACATACATGATTAATGTCTCCGATAATATTTTGAAAGTAAAGACTCCCTGGAGCATTGAAATTAAAAGCGTGTAAAACGATGAAGGTTATCTTTTTAAGAGTGGCTTTTTACAATTAGTATAGTCATATTCTGTGTTATTGTTACTGTTATAAAAATGATTTCATAACGAATAAACAAACTAAAGATAGAATAATGTCTTGATGAAATTTTAAGTGAAAATTATAAAGGCTTAGCTTGTTTTTATCTAAAAGAAATCATGCCGATGACAACAAACACTTTCCGTGGTACTACCATAAATGTCATTTAAGCCTACTGTTTTAGTAATAATTATTAGTTAATAGGTAAATTATATTTGTCGCAGGGTGAGAAAATGTGCAGCCTGACAGGGCTCGAACCCGGGACCCTCGGAATACCGTACCGCGGCTCTACTGACTTAGCTATCCGGCCGCTTACACACCTTTTCCCCTAAATAGTAAACAGTTCTGAAACATGACATACTCCCCTGCTATATTTAAATTCGTCCTCGAATTCCACAGAGTTACAGATCAATCCGAATTTGAGCTATATTGAGTCATGGTCCCCCGTACTGCGCTAAATGTACTAGGAAGAATTTTCGCAACCTTATTCGGGCTTTCTACCGATGAGCTATCCGACCGCTTACAATATTCTCCCCTATAACGTTATCAGTTCTGAACAGTGACATGTGCTTTAAATGATTTTGATAGCTGTTTTGAAATAATATGCCTTTGTAGATACATCATTGTATCGGCCATTAATTATTTATTTACTATTTTATACATATATACTTACCCTATTACCGATTGAGAATTCATTTTCTTTTTCCTTTATGTGACGCAGTTATATGTCGCACCGCACAGTTAGGGTTGTACGCCCTTCTGCAAACTTTACGCTCTGTAAATATTGATATCATCATTACATTGAGAAAGTGAGAACTCAGTATTATATTTATATTTCTTTTCAACTTTACTGGCTTATTTCATTCTGAGTTTTGGGGCAAAAATTGCTTGATTTGAGGACAAATAGAAATTATTCCAAAAACGTATTTATAGATTATACATACATACGTCACTACTATGCAATGAATAGTGATGCCCTACAGTGAAGTCTCATGGAACAAGATAGAATATAAAACAAGTTTGCTTCTTTAATAAGAAGCATGCGAGAGGTCTTTTGCAGCTGTGGAAAATTTGTTTAATTTGAAAATATATGGGGATATTTTTGCATGAAAGGCACAATGAATGGTTATAAATTAAAATTATTTAACAAAATATGTATTTTATATTGAGTATAGTATCATAATGAAAGTTTGTTTTACACTTCATTATTTTAATGTTTTGAAAGATTATATGCCAGAGAAATGAACATTTTTCTTGGCGCATTAGAGATACATTTTCTACAAAGGGAAAAATTTATATCATGTCATCAAGCTAAATTTAAAATAAATGATATAAACAAATGTATATGTATTAAAAGTAGTATCAAAATAAAAGTTTCTTAAAAAATTCAATAAGCAAATTTTCGGCTAATGTTTTGTTAAGTATATGGAAACATTTCCTCTATATTTTCCAAAACGGACATAAAGTATGTTAATCAAACAATTGTAAAGTGTATAAAGCTATCTAGACTGTTTTTGTAGACTGTCTCTAATGGTTTTACGTTTTAAATGAGGTTCATTCACTACAATCAGATTCGCAAAAATGGATGCCGCCAGCAATCAGATAGGTCTGATGACCTCTCCAATCAATGATTACACAAAAAGAGTTATAACAAACTTTTTGTTTCTATGGATATCTTATAGTCACTGTGCCACATATGAACATAAAAAAGATATTGGTTATCATAAAATAAATTAAACACTAATTTAAAACAAATGTATTATTAAAAGAAAATGGTAAGACCTTGTGATATGACCAAAAATGGTTCCATTTCAAACTATATTTTATTTCAAATATAAGGAATTGCAAACAACTTATACTCAGTTTTATAACTGGAATCATACTTTTATAAACTATAAACAAGAAAAAACCACTTAACTTTATATAAAATGTCTTTGAAAAAAGTTGTTCAGTTTCAGATGTGAAGACAAATTAAAAAAAATCATATACATGTATCAAGTTTGAGAAGTATATAAATATTTTGTGTTTCATGCAAAAATTGAATTTGTTACGTTCATGCCGATAACTATACCCCGTTTCTAGCAGAATATGATCTATCATTGCGTCATTAGGTACATAAACTTATACAATAACTTATTCAATATGAAAATGATTTAAAAAATGATTAAAAAATAGCATTACGCTTCTGTTCTGTAGAATATTCTATTCGGTTTGATGAGTTGCGCAAGGTAGCATGTAACTAAATTTCAATATAATGACAAGCTATTTGAGCCGTGTCATGACAAAACCAACATAATGGGTTTGCGACCAGCATGGATCAAGATCAGTCTGCGCATCCGCGCAGTCTGATCAGGATCCATGCTGTTCGCTTACAAACCCTATTACAAGTAGAGAAACTGATAGCGAACAGCATGGATCCTGATCAGACTGCACGGATGCGCAGGCTGGTCTGGATCCATGCTGGTCGCAAACCCATTATGTTGGTTTTTTCATGACACGGCTCATTTACCATATTAAAATCAAGATAATACTCACCAGAACATAAAGTATGGCTAGGTCACATGATGATCCCTCTGTCTAGATTACTCCCATCGTACAATTTTCTAATGTTAAAATGACGCGGCATTATATAGAAGATGAATATATTTATTGCATACACAGATTGTCTATAAAACAGTACAATGACGTCAAAGTATAATCGACAAACTCTTTAACATAAAACGATTCAATAGGAAAATAATTAATCAAAATTTTACGCATGAAAATAAAGTTATAAAGTCCCATAAAAATGTAACATATTGACTGTCTACGTCGAAAGTTTTGTGTATTTATTTGTTTTATTCATGGTTTTTAATATTCCTGTTTTTGTAAAGAAAAATAGCATCAAAGGGTTTTCTTTATATGATTTGCCATTCACTTATATATGGACGAACTATCCCTATAAATTCTGTAACGATTTATGACAACAAGATCGTAATTGCAAACAAGCAACAACAACAACAACAACGACGACGACGATGTTTAAACATACTAATGTTGTAAAGAAAATAAACAAAGTGGAAAATATATTATTGTATTTGTAATTATTGTATAACAAGTTACTGTTAATGTATAAGTTACCGAAATAAACAATATCTTTTTCTTCTATAAACTCCGACCTACATTATCTTATAAACGCAGATTTTATCTCAAGCATTTGACATTTGGTTTGTTTATTCAAAATACCCTTTTGCCAATCCAAAAGTTATAGCCAATCACAATAAAAATGAACACTTTCTGTCTTTAAAATGTTATTCAGTAGTATCATTTAAAAATAAGATCGGAACGTAAATCTAAATACTTGTGTTTTTTTCCATATAAGATGTAATATTATATCAGTAGTGATACCGTGTACCGAATACGGACTTTAATACCCGAGGTCCGGGTTAATTAAGTAACGCCGTCGGGTACTTAAAGTGTATTTTTTTTTACATATTAATGTTTCGCGAATAAAGGGTAAGATATTTTTTCACTTATTTGTAAAATGAATCAAATTATTTTACGTTTTCAGAGTGTTGTTTAAATAAAGTAATCTGCAGTGATTTTTTCCCTAATATTTTACAGCCTTAAACATTCTGTTTCCCCTAGCAAAACTACTATCTTATCCATAAAATGGAATCCTGTCTTCCCCTTGAACTGAATAAAGTTGAAATAGCAGTAACAAAGGTTAAATTTCCAAATAAACAGCTTTAAATGAGAACATTCAAAATAGAAAATTTGATATTAAGTGTGACAATGAATTGGTGTTCTGCTTCTCCCCTTTTTATTTAATGCGCTATATTTTCCCCTGGCTGTTTTAAATATTCAAATCTGTAATATCCCACCTGATAATAATGAAAATAATAAAGATAATAATAATTACTATTATCGTACATGTTATAGTGATAATAAAATGATAGGACTTAAATAACGATACTTATCATGATTATAATTATTATTATCATTTTATCATCATCAATAATAATAATAATAATAATAATAATAATAATAATAATAATAATAATAATAATGATGATGATGATGATGATGATGATGATGATGATGATAAAGTCTTTATTCCTAGCCATTACAACCATCATCATCATTATTATCATTATCATTATCATCGTTATCATCACAATTGTCAAAACAATCACTATTTATTTCAATTCTCATCATTATAACTATCATCGCCATAATCATCATCATAAATTTCATTATTACTACAATGTAAAATGTATCAGGAACAGTATTACGATTATGACAATTATCATCATCACCATCAGTCATTATCATCATTGCTTTATAAAGAGAACGAATTTGTTAAAGTTCAAGTACAACAACAATTCTCAGAGTATCCGGGACGGCCTCGAGGTTGTAGGTCCAGGGATCCAACTTTAAAATGAAGATCAAAATATAGTTCTACGTTGCAAATTTATTAGTGATAACTTTTGGGGTGTGTTTATTTCCTATAGGAATCAGTCGATTCATTACCATTATCAATATAATACATGCCATTCGATCTAAAAAAAAACGGGAAAGGAACTTTCCATAGCGTATGACAATATGATTACTCTTCTTTCAGTGTAGATAAGTGATCAGAAGTATTTTTTTTCCAAATCATATATTAAAAAGTCATGACATGATCGATGGGATAACGTGACGGACTAGTTACCTCAAGGTCAGGGGCAAGCCGTTGTTTTCACAATCATTGCTCAGTACTGGTTGGTACCGGGAACATATTCAAGAGTGTGCATGTCTGTAAGTATCTAGTTTCCTACAATTTTGAACTTCAGTAAGTTCAGCATAAATTAAATAATTAATCACCTTACCAATTAATCACCTTTATCATATCATATAGGAATAATGTATTTCTACAGTATTGTTTTCTGCTAAACTGAAAGGGCGCATGAACCCTTATTAAACTTAAAACACATAGCATTTTCATAATAAGTAAGGTAAGACAATTCAAATTCATAATCGGCCCACTGACCATTGGCACTGAAGTGAAGCACCACACTTGACGTGCCAATTATTCTTTTAGCAGGCCGATTATCACTTTCTGGCCCTTCTTTGTCGTGTATTAACATCCTAATTTTTACTAACAACAAAAAGCCACGCGTCAAGTGTCGAGTAGAAGGTCCTTTAAACAGAATGTCAATTGCCCTCGAAACCGGGGACCAGAAAGTTGAAAAACTATATAACAGCGATTAACTGCCCATTGACCACCAGAAGATTAAAACAGCCGTCGTTAACCTAGAGAAAATTCAATGTAGAAAAAAAGACGTACATTCCAATGGTATTAAACAATATTAATTTAGCTTTATGGCTGCCTCTAAACTATCTAATTCAACTCAAATTGACAGTGAAAAAGTCATTTAAGTTCAGGAAATGTTGCATCTTTTTTTGCATTGAATCCGTAGAATCCACATTCAGCTACGCGCTATGATTCATTAGGTTCAGTCAGCAATGGGGAAAATTTTAGTCTTGTTTTTGTTATTTTTTTTTTGTTCTGACAAAATTACAGATCTCAGATTTTCGGATAAAAATAGCTTTTCTGCTGATCAACATGTCCCCGAGCGTCATGGAATTAAATAAACGTTTAACAAAAGTGATACTTCCGTGTTTAAATATAACATTCTTTTTATTTTATCATTTTTTATTATTTACCGATAAAATAACGTGCCAATGAGCCAGTCTTTATTCTAATAAGGCGGAATATAGTCGGCTATTATCAATATCAACAGAAAGGGCAGAAAAGTTGCGGTTAAGGAAATTAGAGTATAATCAGCGTAATGCGTTTATTTACCGTAATGCATTTTCAATCGAGTGATGACTCCTTACATTTAGGAGTCATATTGTATCGACGATACATAGAACATGTTTTACAACAAAAACGGATAAGTGTAAACTTGCATTTTAAAAATAATAAAAAGGGGTTAAATTGAAAACTTTTAATCTAGTGTACAAACATTTAATTAAGTCTCGGCCAGTCGAGACACTGTAGACTAGGTGGATTTTGGTAATTGATTTAACCTCAATGGATTATTTTGCGGCGGCTTTTATGTGCAGCATCACCATTAAAATAGCATACTTATATTTCGCGTCATTCTTATTATATATAGACAGCATGTACATGTACACGTATAATGTATCTATTTATAGTACATACATTTGTATTGCATGGTTCTAGATTCTTTCATTTCAGTTTTGTATTAAAACATTTTCCCATGTCACAGTAAGTCAGTCCCAGAAAAAATATAGCCCACCTAAAGGAGCTCGAGCATCTCTAGTTTATGCACAATGCAGTAACTGAGGGGTGGGGTTGGGGTTCCGTCTGACGTGTAACAATATTACTTTATATTTCTCTCTATTATATAACACCTCGTTAACGTTTTTTTTTTAATTAGTCGATCATCTCCAGTATTCCCCTAAAAGTCCTTGTCTTTAAAATATAAGCAAAAACTTACAATTTAATGATATACAATCATGCTTGAATTTGATATTAGAAAATATCATGATGATTGCTACACATGCAGTCTCTGTTTAAATATAATAAACATGTTTTGACTTCACACAAATTAAATACGTTATGTTTAAAATCCTACATACTGTAGGCGGTCAACATATGAATATACAGTGTTATTAATCATTAAACACACTGGCAATTTTTTTTAACGAAAAGACTAACTTTACTTGACCTGTAATAGGGAACCCAGCTTCCCATGCACACGAGGTATGAGCAAAAAGTTCTCGGCCCGATATACTTCTAGCCACTATACTGACATTTACACACGATGCGTCATTACCGATATCTTATTTAAGATTACTGACCGAGTTACACGCGGTTTTACACAGATTAAGTAACATAAAACACACTTTGATCAGTAGAGGGGTGTGTCATTTAGACCAAATGGAGAAAGTTGAAATCAGAGCCGTCATTAAGTACCTCTGTAAGAAAGGGATGTCCCCCAAGGAAATCCATGAAGACTTCATGGATACACTTGGGAAGGAGTCCCCTTCCTATAGCACTGTGAAAAATGGGCTGCTGAATTTAAGAGGGGCAGGGAGAGCATTGGAGATGATGAGCGGCCTGGGCGGCCAAAAGAGGCCACCAACGATGAAACTGCCGAAGCTGTGCACGATCTGGTCATGTGCGACAGAAGGCGAGACCTGCGAAGCATTGCTAGGGAAGTGGGTATAAGCTTTGGTTCAGTTCAGGCAATTCTGACTGATGTCTATGGCATGTCAAAGGTTTCCGCTTGATGGGTCCCCAGACAGTTGAATGACGATCAGAAACGAGCCAGGCTTGACATTTCAAGATTTCTTTTGTCTCGCTACGAGGATGAACCTGATTTTATCTACCGGATCGTAACTCAGGATTTAACATGGGTCCATCACTTCGATCCAGAATCCAAAAAACAGAGCATGCAGTGGAAGCACCCTGGCTCACCGCCTCCGAAGAAATTCAAGAGGTTGCCATCAGCAGGGAAATGATGGCTTCAATTCTTTGGATAGACAGGGGATAATTATGATTGACTAACGTGACCAAGGTCGTACCATTAACGTTCTTAATGAAAAAAAAACAAACAACATTTTAAACAAAAAAATATCAATTCAACCAATAAAAATGCAATATATGAATAAAGAAATTAACTAAAATGATTCAATGTAGACCGGCTCAGTGATGATTTATAAATTTTGCTTGCATAATCGTGAACATTTAATACCTTTATGAAAATTATTTCGGATGAAGCAAATGAA